GTCCTGCTCAGCAACCACAGCACCTTTCGCCGTGGGAGGCCACACATCGCTTCCTTGGCAGCCAAGTAATTGCTCCGTGTGGCGCAGGTTCTCCCCGATGCGAAAATTCCTTATCGTAATCGCTTCCTTTAATGAGTTTCATCATTGAAGTAGTGGTGACAGTACGACAGCCAGTTTTCTTGTGCTCACAAGTTAGTTACGTCGCAATCAGTCCCGAGAATGCTCATAAGATAAGGGTTCGCACAGGGATGGAACAATCGGGGCGAAATTTGCCGTTCATGAACCCTCACCTCACAAATTGGGGAAACGACCATTTGGAGAAGGCTTAGAGAAAAGCGAGGTTTACCAAACTTGTACAGTGGAAAAGAAGCGCTATCATGACCTCGTTGTTCTAGAAAGTGGCATTATGGAGTTTGTGGCAGGAAAGGAGAAGGGCACTCCCTGTGTTGTCCTTAAAATACGAAAATAAACTGGGCTGAACACAAAAAATACGTTCATTTGCAGATGGTCAGAGTTATCATGCGAAGGCAAACAACTTATGAATTGGATTGCATGGATATTGATATATCTTCTCACCATTAACCCGGTAACTTCCACAAGATATCCTGTTTCCGTTTATTCACAAATAAACTCTTCTATTCCAGATCATTAATCCGTTGATCACTTCACTAATCTATGCACCGTACCGTATGACAATAAAAAAGTTCCTCGTCAACATACCCGTCGGCAATCGACCATTCTACAATTATCAGGGCGAACAATTGCATCTGGACAGTAGGTACGAGATTATTGTTTTTCCCCTAGTAAACTTATGATCAACTTGCATTCAAAAATCAACTGTCACTGCTTCAGTCATTCATGTAGGTGAGTTAGAGATTCCGTCAATGTTGCCTTTCCCGAACATTGACAGTGTTGATTATGGAGTGAAACGGGTGTACTTTGAAAGAGCTTTCCGCAATAGGTCAAGGCTGAGGAAAGGAACAGTAATTTCACCTAAGGAATAGACAAGCGGGCCCCTTAAGCATGCGGACCGGTACGCAATTCACAGCGAAGGTATGCCCCGGCGACCTAGCATGGCCCTCCCCGCGGCGCTATCGACGCGGCACGCCCCGACTGGCTAACCACTCGCCGCAGGTCTCTAGCCGTTCAGCAGAGAGAGCGTTAGCGTTGAAGAGGGCAGTCCGATGATCAGTGCGGAAATCAACGAGCAAGGAAAGGGTGCTATTTCTTGGGTTCTGGGCCGTTTCTCATGGTTTTTTTTCTTGATCTCGGCACCCTCTTGATACCTACTACCTTAATTCTTATGTGCTCTCTCCTAATCGTAAACTTTGCCTTTAAAGGGGTCTGTGCACTAGACTGAAAGATGACACGCCAGTGACCGTTCGTTGTTCGAAACTAGGTAATGAGAGAATTGCGAAGGCGTACTCGACGAGAAAATAAATGAAGTCGATTGATGATCGTTTCTTCAAAATGTTCAGTAAGCAAAAGGGAAGTAGGCAGGACATCTCATTTTTTTCATGGGAAGTTCGATGCTCCATAGCACAAACAACGGCTTATTGCGTATTCGGACTCGATCCTCCTGCACAAACTTAAACAGGCCCACTTATGAGCGATCTGGACGGTCTCTTGCACCTTCGCACTAGAGGGCAGTATGTAGTACACCTGCCTCACTCTGAACTGAGCTCGGAGAGGTTGCGAACATTTCTTCTCTTGAAGCGCAGGCAAAGTTCGAGGTTGTGACCCTAAGAGCCCTTAAAAGTGGCTAGTAAGTGACGGAGCAGCATGCAGCTGCAGGCGATAGTCAAGCCATCGCATCCGAAATGCGTCACTAAGGCGCTAGGGCCAAGGACTTTGACACGCTCCTCCTGTTGCGACTCCGCCCACCGCTCGATTCTTGTCTGCGTCGCTGCGTTGATCTGCTATGCTCTCTCTTCTCGGATTTCTCTACCGCTCTCCGCGCTCACATTATCTCTCATCTCCCTGCCGGCCTTTTGAACTTCTCCGCAACGTAGAGCAAAAGGCTCGTATTTCCTGTGTATTTCACGATTTTTTCCTTTTTTCTCCACTGGCGGTCCACCTCCCACCCCTACATCACATTTGAGTAGAATTACCTCATCAGTTTAAGCTTGAATCTTGCCTTTAAGCAGGAAGCACTTATGTATTTTCGCTAGAAATGGGTTGATTTGAAGCCCAACACAATGATAAAGCGATCTTCATCCTTTCATTAATCCACAACACCACCACCAACAGCAACCAGCAGCAACGAGTAACCGTATTGGCCAAACTTCTGCCTTGTTGGGAAATTTTCACATCAAAAATTCTGAAATCGTTTGAAGACTTTTATGAGCCGAGATATTCCTTTCTGGGTTTTAGATTAAAAAAATCTCAAGAACTTCGTCAACGGCCTAATAGATTTTCCTTTTCTTATAGTTTCACGTCGGTCCGACGCAGCCGTAATCGTCGCTCCTCGTCGACAGAATCAGCCAGTCTGAGGCAGTCAACCGAGGTAAAGTGGAGCCCGTTCTCCGTTCCAGCAATAATACTAAATGATTCTCATAGGTGCGAATGTCTATGGGTGAGCCGTGGACACCGTCTAAGAGTCCTTCAAAAGATCGCACTGAACAGGAGTTTTCATTTGACAAGAAAATGGAAGTAATCGCCGAAGATTCTCAATCACGATGAGGTTTGGACAACCGTCTGGGTCTATTAAAGAATAAGGATCAAATGTTTTTTTAATAATTTGGGTAAATACATATCTACACACCAAACGTTCATGGTATACTCGGTCCTATGGTAAAGATATCATATGGGATTGAGCGTAAGAAGTGACTCTGATCAACGATATCAACTACAGTTGTAGTTCTTGTACATCAGTCAGACGAGTGTAGTCATGATCGGAGGAATCTTCGCCTCATCTCTGCTTAAAGGCAAACCCCGGGATTAGCCCGACTAGTAGGAAGGATACCGCGAGGGAAATTGTAAGGTCCGTACCTACCTAGATCACTCCAGCTTCGCCAGAAAATTGCGCGGTTAGGGCGCTAATCCTTACGGGCTTGTAAACATAGGCCCCCGTCAGCGTTCCCAAAGTTTTCTCTCTGGTTTCCTTTCCACTTTCAGTTCGTTCTGCAGCTAAGCTATCACTACGAAGCGCTCAAAGCGCAGTTTAATCTCGGGGTTTGCCTTTAAGGGCAGGTGGCACGATAAATCAGAAGTTGAAGAAGAGCAAATGGACCGATTGTAAAACATTAGGTGTTCTCAAGAAGCGAAACGTGCCACATTTGACCCCTTCTCTTTGCCTGCTCTCTCGGTTTCCCACTGTTGTCTCTGGCCGTGGGAGTAAGCGTTTGAAAAAGAGGCGGAGCAAGCGTTCCCTTTGAGTAAACGATTACGATACTGAGGGGCGTATCGGGAAGCATCTGTATGCCACGAGCAGTATGGGGCCAGGGAGGGGGAATGGCGCCTTCGCGACAAAAGTGGCGCTGAGTAGTACTGAGTAGTACTTGGGAAGCGCTCCACCCACTAACTTGATTGGTGATTAAGAGTGGGCACATTTGGAACAGCTGTACAAGCGCGTGGTTTGGCATGGTGTCGCCAAACGTTGCTGAAAATCAGTCTCCCACATGTCCGCCCTCATAGCGCTGACCGTCGGTGCGAAATCAAGGCCGCCAGGGTCCCGTTTGCGTTTCTTGGCGAATTTCTGACTTTCTTTTCGTCATTGTGTTTTATTGAGCACCTTCACGCTCCCTTAAAACTCCTTCAGAACCTATCGTAATCGCTGCCTTGAGAGACATCAACACCAATAGTCGCCCAGAGCGGAAATCAACTGGGAAATCAAGGGTCCTGTTCTGCGGTTTTAGCATATTCTTTTAGCCTTTTATTTCACCTGGACTTAGCAGAATCTTGCATTCCATTCCATGGGCAAAAACTTAATCATAACATTACCCTTAGAAGGAGGCATTCACAATAAAAGCGTGTGTGTGTAAAGCATGGCGATACATGCACAGGCGCAATTAATAGCAAAGTAGCCTTTTCGGGGCCAAAGGTGCGCTAGTTGCTTTAGAGTACCAAACCTACTTGTACTCCGCCTCCGCCCCTGCTCCGCCCACTAGTGTGTTATCCTAAGTGATAACCCCATTCGTTTTTCATTTCGAAAGGGGATTTCACTCTCAAGCAACCGTATGGCCTAAAGTTTCTGTGTAATGTGTTATCAGTCAATGCATGTGTTTCTTGGATGATGGTGGCTATCGTTCAACACGCGCAAGCTACCACAATTTGTGTGTCACGTTCTTACAGGTCCCACCTCGCTTTTTTGAACGTTCATCTCCGACAGTAGAGCCAGCAAACAGTTTGCATGTTCTCAACGACTTCTCTGCTTTTCTGGCCACTGACGACTTTTTCGGGTCACACCACCTCCACTGCGATGCCAGCTCAATCTCATTGTATCTCCCTCGCTTCAACGTGATAGATGCCTTTTGGCCGTGAGCCAATAGGCCCTATTTTGCCTGTGAAACGATTGGAGGTTGATGCAAATGATATTGCATAAACCTCAGTCCGCAACCGGGACTAGGGAGCGGTTGGAAGATAGAGCGACGGAAGTGAAATTTTTTCAGAGGTGGGTGTGTGCGTTACTGTGGGCGGAGCTACACCATCAAATCCTGTTGCCCTAAGTCATACCGCTGAAAGTGTATTGTGTGTTGTGTGCAGCCAAATTTGTACATATTTTCTTGTTTATCTATCTATAGAAGTCATATGAGACCGATATGTTGCCATCGATATCTTTTTCGATATCTTTTTTGTTTCTTCTTTGTTGGAAGTTTTTTTATTGCTAGCTTGATCTCAAAAGCGTCATCAAATAAGTGTAGTTTTTCAGACCACGATTTTTTTCTTCCCAGCACATATGCTTGTTTCAGAGCGACAGAAGTGTCGAGCTCATCACTCGCCCCTGATCAGCGTCTTTGAAATAGCCTAAGAGCTCGGCCTCTGGTTCAAGGAGATCTTCGTCGAACGTTGTCGGATTTGCTGAATATCAATACAAGTAAATCTGCATTACGCACACTACGTTTACAAGTGACGATGACGAGATCCGAGCGCTGGCCATAATACGTTTCCTGGCGTTGACTGTCTTCCACATATTTTATTTAAATATAATACTAGACCAAAAATATGATAAGTAATTTGAAAATCGAGGTTATTTGACTGAGTACCAGCTAGTAATCTTCTCCGTACTGATAAAGGAATACGTCGAATAGAAAATGTTATTAGAAAGGGGAGGGGATCGCGCAGATGGAACGGCTTTCGAAATTCTCTTTTTCTACATTCTTAAGGGACACAAGCGCTCAAACAAAACCACGCACCGGGACTAAGCTGATATCGCTTTCGCTTTTAGGCCGATGTCATAGTTTGCGAATCGAGCGATTCGCTAGCGAATCGCTGGATCCGAGCGTTGCGCCAGCGAATCGAACGTTGCACCAGCGAATCGAACGATGTACCAGCGAGTCGAACTATGTACCAGCGACTCAACACTGTTTGAAAGTGGCGGGACCCAACGTTTAAGGCCCGCCACTTTCAAACAGTGTGGTCCTTTAAAGTGGACTTCCTTTAAACGTTGGGTCCCGCCACTTTCAAACAGTGTCGAGTCGCTGGTACATCGTTCGACTCGCGCGATTCGCTGGCGCAAAGTTCGATTCGCTGGTGCAACGTTCGATTCGCTGGCGCAACGCTCGGATCCAGCGATTCGCTAGCGAATCGCTCGATTCGCAAACTATGACATCGGCCTTAAAGATGATATGCCGTATACCATATATGCAGGGTCAACCGTGCGTGGCACAGATTTCGAAAACCCTTCAAAGAGGTCTTCTTACCACCCCTCATCACCAGCACCCCTAGGGAATTTCCCCGATACGACCCTCTGCTCGCCATCCCCGACCACCACCCTCACCATTATGGCTGTTGTTTCTATAGTATTCGATACTGAGACTGATCGGCACATACCAACCCCACATTTTCGCTCACAACGGCTGTCGAGCAGAGGGAGGAGGTGGCGAGGGAGTAAGCATGCCTAAAAAAGAAGGAAACCCTCTAATTTTTCCTGCTTCTTGCTTATTCTATGGAGTTTTCTCCAGAATCGTCACGAACTCGTTAAACACAACCCCGTTTGCTACCGCCACGTCTCCTTGACCAAATATACGGCCCTCTTTTTCCACCTTTGACCTTACCAACCCAAAATGCGACCCCCTCCTCCAAAAAAAACTTAAATGCGACCTGCGTTGAGAACTGTGCAACGCTTTTGATCCTGAGTATCGGCTCCTACAGGGTGCGAAGACGTGTTTAGAAGAAGCGCTTCGCGTTCTATGCGACCGCAAGCCCAATGTAGAGACCAATGGAGCTGTTCGTAGCTTCTTACCAACAGTATTTGTTGAACTGGTATCCACTCAGGAACGCTTGCTGGTCAGCATTAGCTCATCATCGTTCTTTGAAAACATAGTGCGGGTCGTGTGCTGTGGAACCATATCAGTATTATAAATAGTTTGATTATCAGTGTTATATCGCTTTTCTCATCGCAATTCCATTTCTTAATCCGTTTCATGGATTCAAATGCACACTTTGGATTGTACGCACATTTTGCCAAGATTTGTATTTTTCACGATTCCACTCCGCGGTGCTCTTCTGTAAATGTTTTCTCTTGGCAATTTTCATGATCGTTTACGATCGGCTTCAAAGTCATTTGCTCTGTTGCTGTTGCAGTTTTAAAAACAAAGTTTTTTATATTGATTTTTTATTATCACAATTCCAGATTTGACCTCAAATGCATAACAAACAGGTTAACCTTTAACCAAACAAAGAAAAATATGATAGAATTGAGCTATCCCTGAGCCTCATGTGTGTAAGATGTTCTTCAGGAAATCAGTGATGAGGACTCATTCAAAATACTTTATTGGTAAGCTTTCGCTGTGCTAACAGCTTCTTCAGACCTAAACATACAAATCAAGCATAACATACGTACGCTAATTCTTAGAGCATAAAGCTATGAACGTACTAACCGGGCAGTCAACAGCAATTCGGTAACTGCAATACAACATAGTAACGACTACTGCTAGTAACATCAACAGAAGAACGGCTTACCCCGACGCCACTCCCAAGCAATTAAAAGTTACTACAAATGCGATGCGCGTGACTATTGCAAGGAATTCTTAATCGCCACCGCTAAGATATTAGTCTTAATGCCTCCATGAGTTCATCCCTGTTGTTCATTTCCGGGGATAAACGTTTAATAGCAAGGGCTTCGAGCAGTTTCCTTTGCAATGGAGCTTCCTTCGTGCGGTGCAATATAGAAACTTTAAGATTGGGAGGCGCTTCCTGTCGGTGGTATTGTACACGATGTCTCGAAAACGCACTGCTTGGATAAGAAGATGGATTCCGCAGTGCTCGTGTATGCTCGTCCATCCGTTTATACAGCGGGCGCTTCGTTTCACCAACGTATTTCTTTCCGCATCCTTCACATGTGACCAGATAACTGTTCCACGTAGCTGACAGATTTTGTGTTCTACGCAGTACGTGCAGTTGTTCCGGCCACATTTCTCTTCGTAAATCCGTGATGATGTTAACAAGCTTTTCAGATTCGCAGGTGGTCGGAATATCAATTTCACTGGAAGGCGTGACGACTTGACAACATGGTTCAC